GGGGGCGGCCACTGCACTCTAGTCTGGGCGACAGTGAGACTCCAACTTAAAAAAAAAAAAAAAGAAAATACATAAAAATCTTCAGATTTTTCACACAATATATCTTGTACATGATAGAGAGGTTTTATTTTCGTTTTTTAATGAGTAACATTTGTATACTGATGGGAATGATCTTGTAGAGGGAAATGATTTGGAAAGAGAGGGAATGGGATGGAATGTACAGGGATGGGGGTTGGCCCCAGTGACAGCAGAGAAGGCAGCATACAGCGGCACTGGCAGATGCAGGCAGATGTGGACACAGGATGATGAGAAAGTTCTCTTCTGAGTGCTTCTATTTTCTTAGTGAAATAAAAAGTGATCTTGTGTGAGAATAGGGGTTTCTGACAGTGTGAGAAGAGTACAGGTGTGAAAAGTTTTTTGTTTAAGATGTGGGTTACAAGTCAGGATTGGGTACATAAATGGTTTATGTACAAGTGAAGTTTGGGCCTCCCATTGGACAAAAAGTATTGTCAAAGAACAGGAGAATGAACTGATTAAGGGAGTGATTTTCAAACTTAAGCATCAGAATCCTTTTTGGCTCATAGGTCTGGAATGAGGTCAAGAGTATGCATTTCTAAAGAGCTTCAGAGTGATGCTGATGCTGGGAGCCATGCTTTGAGAACCACAAGACTAAGGAAATATACCAGAATTAACGGCAATCCAGGGGGGTCCTCTTGAGATTTGTCATTATGAAAATTTGAAGCAAGCCTGATCAGCATGATTGTGTATTTGTACTCAGTAGTTCTCATTTTATATGGCAGAGTTTAGGCCTGGAGTAGGTGGTGAGCTGAATTTAACCACGGTTGGGATTTAGATAAAGAGAGGATGGTGCTGTCAGTAATAGATGGCACCAAACAAGCATATACATTTCTTTCTTCTTTTTTACTTCCATCTTTATATAAACAAAAGCCTTATATTACCAACAAAAAAGAAAGAGGAAGAGGATATATAGAAATATGCTAAGAACACAAAGACAAAGTTCAGAATGAACAGGAAAAAGCTCATATAAAGAAAGAACTAGAAAAAGGTAATACTCAAATTTGGTGGTAGCTTTGCTGACTCACACTGAGGAGAAAATGTGGTCACAATATGAGGAAGTAAAAGATTAAAACAGAATTAGAATTTAGAAAAGGGATGGAATAGGTGTGGGATAGTAACATAGTATAGAAAGAAAAGAGTATAATTTTTAGGAAATAGGATGCTAACAGGTAAACACGTATTTGGTCATTAAAAAAGTCCTGCCAGGATCTTGAAGAGATATCTGCACTCCCATGCTCATTGCAGCATTATTTATATTAGCCAAGATGTGGAAGCAATCCAAATGTCCATCAACAGATGAATGCATAAAGAAAATGTGGTATGCACATACAATGGAATATAATGCAATCTTAAAAAAGAAGGAACTCTTGCCACATGCTACAACACAGATGAACCTTGAGGATATTATGTTAATTCACAAAAGGACAAATACCGTACTATTCCACTCACTAAATATCCATAGTAGTCAAAATAACAGAAAGTGGAATCATGATCTCCAAGGACAGGGAGTGTGTGTGGGTGTGTGGGGGGGCGAATAGTGTTTAGTGCTATAGTTTCCATTTTGCAAGATGAAAAATTCTAGAGATTGTTGCACAGCACAACAATGCGAATACATTTAACACTACTGAACTGTATACTTAAAAATGGTTAAGATGGTACCTTTACTGTTTTTTTCTTACAACAACAAAACAAAATCCCACCAGACCTATAATACAGTAACTACCTTCCTTCTCAGAGGTTCTAAGGGGAAGTAAGAGCTGCAAAATATTTTTATTCTAGCAGTTAAAAAATATCCTGTCCCATGTATCATATTTATACAAAATTAAAAGCTCTGGAGAATATGACATTCAGAAGATTGTACCCAGAAACAAATAGAATGTTAGACAAAGCTCAATGAGTCAAATATTTAGTGTAAAAAAAGCTGCAGGATAACAATAGGGCAAGATAAAAACAAATTCTTCTTCATTTCAAATGACAACAAAAAAAGGGAAATGACACTAAACTGCTGGGTTAGCAGTTACATAGACAGACAGATAGTGGTTGAATATTGGAGTTGGACCAAAACAAAAACTGCAGAATCCCATCATTATTTTCTTTAAAATATAGGAGATTTAATTTGCTTGGAGGAGTTTTTCATAGGAGAATGACATCCCAAATCTCATCCAGTTCTACGATTATTAGATTATTTTAGAAAATAAATCCATGCTCTTCAAGGAATACATGAAAATATACTAAAATAATGTACAGATCAAATAAGACTTAAAAACTAAAGAGTAAAATAATTTATTACTAATGTTAGTATAGTTCAATATAGGGATGGTATTTTATCAAAATAATTTCTATAGCAAATCCACAAAGAAACAAATTCGATACTTGTGCTTTGAAAGTCCATGCAGCATATTATGCATCATTTCTTAGAAAAAATAGAAAATGTATATTTCTGCTCAGAAGTTATAAGACTTTTTTACTTTGGGGGGGGTGAGAAAAACTTTCCATAACTGTCAAGTTATAAGGTATTCACAAAGAAGATATAAGGATTTTTCTAAAGCTAAGTGTTGATTGAACTTAAAGTTGTACAATAGTAGGGTCTTTTAATATTTTCAAAAGGAGCATGAGGGTTGTCATATTAAAAAAAGAAAGAAAAGGGGAAAACCCTACCACCACTTGTGAATATAAAAAAGAAGAGAACTCTAACCAACTGCACCACGACCGGATGGAAGAGCCCAGCTGACACAACCAAGACAAACTCTCAGTGTCTAGGGAAGCTTGGGGTTCGGATCCTTTTACTTCAGATGAGCCCGAACTGTGAGTATTCCTTGATTTCAACTACATAAGTGAGCCTTTATTTCTGCTATAATTTGGTTATCTGAACATTCAAAGTGAAACCCAATTCGTGGGGATAAGGCTACTCTCATACCAGCAATTCTTTGCTTTTAGAACCTCTAAGTAAATTGCTTGAAGATATCTTTGCCTTGATTTCAAATAAAGCTAAGTCTTTTTAGTTGTTTTAAGTACTTTAGGACAGTTAAGGTATTTAAGCTTATACTGTCAATATAGCCACATTATTTATACTGCAGATCTACTTGAATCAATTAAAAGTTATTTCCATATGCAATCAATTTTATTTCTAATCTTTTATAAGTGATCTATAACTTACTGACTTGTAAGTTATGCTGTCTCCCTATTTACAATTAGTGTTGCTTCTTTATTATATTATTACTATTTTATAGTAATTACCAGACCATATACATTTAAGTTTGTGTTTCAGAAGTAAATAAGGTGAATATTAGAGAAAAGAGAAAACAAAGTATACTTTAGTCCAAATAATGAAAGTTTTAAAAAATGTATTTTTCTTTGTTAAGTTTATCACAAAACCTAATATATTACCAATATTATTATTTCCAAAGTAATATGCTTTCAATTTTCATTTTATATGCAGCAGTTAATGCAATTTTTGAAGCATGGCCTGAATAGATTCAGTCATTATCAAGTCAAACTAAAAATGGTGAAAGGTTGCTACCAATACCAAATAGGTATGTATTTCAACATAGCAATGTGATGTTTTCACAAACACACTCAAACTGCATTTTGAAAACCTCTGCTCATCTGGGGCCACAGAAGAATCTGCTGGGTCCTGTCCTTCAGGTACAGCAGTTTCCATGTGACCCAGTTGAAAAAAGCTAGCAGGCGTGGGTGTGGGGGTATACAACGCACTAACACAGGGTTGTGAACTTGCGAACAGGATTTGCCAAGTAATAACATTTTAAAAACACTGTCTACTATTAGAAAACTACTGTGACCACTTCAATATAGCACACAGGTCACAAGCAATGTCTACTGGGAAATTAGTTCACTATGTAAACACAGTGGTTTGTTTCCTGTCTTCACTGGCAATTCTCAACATATCAAACAAGTAATGTGTAAAATGTCAATAAATGGTCTTAAGAATAGTGAGTGAGTGACACTGTAAGGTGCCAACTGACTTTAAAGGAGACAAAAATCAGTTACCAACTTTATTTTTATTGTATTTACTTATTTATTTTAGAGTTGGAGTCTCACTCCGTGGCCCAGGCTCACGGCCACCCCATCATTGACCTGTTGGGCTTCAGTGATCCTTCCGCCTCAGCCTTCCAAGTATCCAGAACTACAGGTATGCACTACCATGCCCAGCTAATTTTTGGTTTATTGTAGAGATGAGGTCTTGGCAAGTTGCCTGGGTTGGTCTTGAACCCATGGGCTCAGGCAATCCACTTGCCTGGGTCTCCCAAAGTGCTGGATTACAGGCTGAGTCACCGAGCCCGGTCACTACCAAGTTTAAAATAGAATTGAATTTGTTAATTTGTTACTTAATAACTGGATGCTAGCTATCTAATGTATGGCTCTAAAGGATGCTATTGCTACTTAAACAATGCATTGCTTTTGTTTTATTCTCTTTAAACTTGAGACTAAAGCAAAACCAGAAAGGTTTACAGGCAAACTTGTCCAGCTATTATTTATTTTATTTGCAGATTAGAGCTGAGGCAAATGGTTTCAGGATATGTGCTTTGTGCGAACTGCTTTCTAGAAACATCTTGACTATGGCTATTGGGCCTAGAAGTAAGTTTGAGAAGATACGCTCTGGGGGAAGTGCTGAACATTCTGATGAATGATTTATGATTCTGGAAACTCTGGATTTATTTACTTAGAATAAAGGACATATCAGATAAGATAAATACTTTTCCAAAGAAGTAAAGCTAGGTGGCATAATCTCTTCTTAAAATTGCTAAGTTGGATAATGTTAAAGGAATCATGTAAAAATACTGCTGACACAACTCATTATTAATAAAAAAAAATGCTGATCCTATGTGATAAGAGGGAGTGAAGTTTGGTGAAAAGGATTATGGGTTCTAAAAGTCAGATCTGAGTCCCAACTTGGGCATTTAAGAGCTGTATGGCCAAGGGTAAAGATCATAACCTTGATCTTTCATTATCTCTTTTTGTAATACTTACCTCACATGGTATTGTAAAGATTATGTGAATAAATATAAATGTGCTTAACACAATGTCTAGTACCCAGCAAGTACTAAATACTAGTTAATGGTTTGGCCATCTAGTTCAAGGATCCAATTCTGCCTAAACATTAGAAACCCCTGAGGAACTTTTAAAGGAAACCAGTGCCTGAAGCCCATTCCAGATCAATTAAATCAGAATATCTGGGTGAGGAGCCAGGCAATGGTATCTTTAAAAAGGCCTCAAGGGGATTCTAGTATGCAGCCAGGACTGAGAACCAAGAAAATCCCTTCTACAAAGTAGCCAACTGGTAGTAGTCTTGAAAATCTTGTGTTAAGACACTTACTGCTTCCCAAGAGAGATCATTCTGCTCAAAAAAAAAAATTTCCTTAAAAGGAAGCAACATCTGTTTCTGCAGTTTCTATCACTGGTCCTTGTTCTGCTTTCTGAAGGCACATATAACAAGGTGAAACCCTTTTTTTCTGTGGCCTTGTAAAGCATTTTCATCTCCAGAGTAAGGAGCCTATTTCTTTCCACTGCTTCTACGACATGATCTGAGCTTCTCCCTATTTGGTCTGTGGCCTTTGCTAAGTGTGCTGCTGAGGATGAAACACTGTATTCCAGGTGAGACTCTGTAAGCTTGGAACAGAAACAGCTTAGTAGTATAATAACAATTTTCATTTCAGAAACTCCATATCTAGGAATTCAACCAAAGATGGGGTTAGTTTTTGTTGCAGTCGTATCACACTACTGACAGACCAATTGCAGTTATGTTTCTGTTGCACAGCTAAAGCCCTTCCTGTACTTGTACAATTGTGTTTAATATCCACATGTAGAACTTTACACGTATCTGTACTGAATTCCCTCTTTCATTCTACAATATTTATTGTGTTAAGCATTTGGTACACAGAGCCAAACAAAACTGACTTGGTTTTTAACCCTAATGGAGCTTAAAACCTAGCACAGGAGAAGAAAGAAAACCCAAATAACACTTACAGATGAGTTTTTCAAGTCATTTCAGCTACCTGAGAGTTCAAAATCACATCACTTCTTGTGCCTCAATTCTTTGAGCCTCTGAGAGCTCAATAGGTAACCATACAACACAGGCTCCTCTACAGACCCCTTTTTCCTCTTCCTGGTAATGCAGATTGCATGATCAGTTTCATTTTTTGGCAGCCTGCCATTCTTTCCAGATTACTATTTCCTTTTAGAAATTCACATAACAAGAAACATGCCTGTAAGTGTCTATAAACTTTGTAAAATTTATCTTTCTGCAGTTGAGACACATGACAGACTAGACTCAGTCTCTCCTTCCTCCCTCCACTTTCCAGAACTCTGGACACAGGCTCTTACAAGGGATTACGTAACTTCCTCTTCACCAGCCAGTTCCTCTTCCTTGGAATCAAACCCCTCACCTTTACAACATTTTAAACCTGAATGTTAACCTCTACCAAAATGGTTTCTTCATGATCAAATTATAGGTAGAGTTTTTTTTTTTTTTTTTTTGAGTTGGAGTCTCACTCTGTTGTCCAGGCTGGAGTGCAGTGGCACACTCACAACCACTCCAATGCCAACCTGCTGGGCTCTAGCAATCCCTCCGCCTCAGCTTTCCAAGTAGCTGGAACTACTGGCATGCGCTACCACGCTTGGCTAATTTTTGATTTATTGTAGAGACGATGTCTTGCCAAGTTGCCTGGGCTGGTCCCGAACCTGCGGGCTCAGGCAATCCACTCGCCTCTGCCTCCCAAACTGCTGGGATTACAGGCTGAGCCGCCAAGCCCGGTCTATAGGTAGAGTTTTAAGTGAGGTTATATACTTCCAAATATTTTTCTTTGTGCATATTGTCAAATCAGGAAATTATTATACTTCAAATTAACTTTATATTATAGTATTCAGGGTTCGAATGCACACTCCTCCAAAATGTTTACTGAGAATAGGGTCTGTCTTATTCATCATTTTCCATACAGTACTTAGCCAAGTGTGAAACAGTTATTAAAATGAGATTATTCAAAAGGTGTTTTATTAAAGGGAACTTTTATTGAGCACTTGCTATGTGCCAGAATTAAGTTCTTCATATGCATTTTTCATTTATATAGATGAGAAAACTGAAGCTTAGAAAGATGAAGTTGTTTGCCCTTGATCACAGTTAGGTCTGATTTGGAACACCTTGCTCTGGATGTCTTTATGTTATCCCTACCAAATGGCTACTGTAGAGATCTAGGGCAGTTGCTCTAAGAAAGGAATGTGATGAGAACTCCAGGAACCTTCACTTATGTCTTCCAGCTCTTTAAGACCAGCTCTCAGACTGAGCTCTTCACAGCATTCAATGCCCAGCAAAGGGTCAATAATAAGTAGCTTTGGGAACATTCTCTGTGGCCACATACTATTTCTTAGAAGGTTCTTGCAAGTCTCAAATTACCTAAGCCAGGACTTATTTAAACTTTGATCCGGTTACTTTCAAAATCTTGGACTGCACACCCTGTTTCTCCTCTACATTATCACTCTATGCCTGTAGGTCAGGAATGGCTAAATGGCAGCTGTCACCTGACTTGGTTTTGTTTGGCTACTTTGTTTTCCCGTGCAGTGTTACAAGAGTCTCAGTAACCAGGCAGATGCTGTAGTCTCTTGATCTATTATGTTAATTTTATATCCCTGTAGGCAAATGATTTTAATACCCTCCCTTGGTCTTAGGTTGAAAAGGAAGAAATTTAGGACCCTTTCCCTATTCCCACCATAGAATGAGAGACTGCCACAGTTTATGTCACATGCCATGTGGCAATATGTGTTATAATGAATGAGTGCTACATATAAAGGAAAGGGTCAAGGTAGGAAGTAGTTCTGAAGCTGGGCAGGGCCAGCAGTGGGCCCAGTTCACTCATGGCTATATGTACCTTTGGAGAAACTGATGCCCACAGAGTGGTATAATGGACATTGGAGACTCAGAAGAGGGAAGAGTGGGGAGGGATGAAAAATTACCTATTGGGCACAATGTACACTATTTGAGTGATGGGTACACTAACCACTATACAACTTATCCATATTTTTAAAAACTCACTTGTACCCCTAAAGCGACTGAAATTTAAAATAAGAGAAACTGATGTTCATATGTGAAAAATATGATGGCTGGGCACAGTGGCTCAAACCTGTAATATCAGCACTTTGGGAAGCTGAGGCAAGAGGACTGCCTGAGTCCAGGGGCTCAAGACAGTCTGAGTAACTTGGTGAGACCTTGTCTCTGCAATATATCAAAAATTAGTTGGGCGTAGTGGCGTGAGCCCGTGGTCCCAGCTACTTGGAAGGCTGAGGCAGAAGGCTCGCCTGAGCCCAGCAGGTCGAGAATGTGGTGGCCGTGAGTGTGCCACTGCACTTCAGCCTGGGCGACAGAGTGAGATTCCAACTCGAAAAAGAAAAAGAAAAAAAAAGAAAAAAGAAAAATATGAACTGTCATTTCTCTACACTTCCATCTGTATTGCAATAACAACCTCCCTAAGAAAAGATGATCTCATAGTTGAGTTATTTTAATATAATGCCTGAAACAAACCTTGAATGTATGCCATGGCCAAAGGAAAGATTAGAGCAGGTCACTCCATGAGATCCTATTCTATGTGCTGCTTGTTTTGGGATACAAGAATGTTACTACATACATGGTGTAGACATCCAGATGGCCCAAAGTAGGATACAAGTAAAGTTTCTCACAATGTCTGAAAATAAATCATTTATTATTGACACTTCGGGTTAAAGTAACTGTTGTTAAAATAGCAAATGACTCAATGTTTGGCATTCTGTTGTAGGAAAAATTTGAAGACATAAGAACTACACACAAGGAACATGTCATCTAGCACCTTCACTTTTTGATTCCCACAGAAGACAATGAGAAGTCACACTGTAACAATGACAACGATTTCAGTCAGCAGCTGGTCTTGCTCCTCCCATGAAATGTGCTCTATAACGAATCACAGTGACCAATCGGCACAAAACTTCTCGGGAACGCCAAATGTTACTACCTGTCTCATGGATGAAAAATTACTATCTACTGTGTTAACAACATTCTACTCTGTTATTTTCATCGTGGGACTGGTCGGGAACATAATTGCCCTCTATGTATTTCTGGGTATCCACCGCAAAAGAAATTCCATTCAAATTTACTTACTTAACGTAGCCATCGCAGACCTCCTACTCATCTTCTGCCTCCCTTTCCGAATAATGTATCACATTAACCAAAACAAGTGGACACTAGGTGTGATTCTGTGCAAGGTTGTGGGAACACTATTTTATATGAACATGTATATTAGCATTATTTTGCTAGGATTCATCAGTTTGGACCGCTACATAAAAATTAATCGGTCTATACAACAACGGAAGGCAATAACAACCAGACAAAGTATTTATGTTTGCTGTACAGTATGGACACTTGCTCTTGCTGGATTTTTAACTATGATTATTTTAACACTTAAGAAAGGAGGGCATAATTCCACAATGTGTTTCCATTATAGAGATAAGCATAATGCAAAAGGAGAAGCAATTTTTAACTTCATTCTTGTGGTAATGTTCTGGCTAATTTTCCTACTAATAATACTTTCATATATTAAGATTGGGAAGAATCTATTGAGGATTTCTAAAAGGAGATCAAAATTTCCTAATTCTGGTAAATATGCCACTACAGCCCGGAATTCCTTTATTGTACTTATCATTTTTACTATATGTTTTGTTCCCTATCATGCCTTTCGATTCATCTACATTTCTTCACAGCTAAATGCATCACCTTGCTACTGGAAGGAAATTGTCCACAAAACCAACGAGATCATGCTGGTTGTCTCATCTTTCAATAGCTGCTTAGATCCCGTCATGTATTTCCTAATGTCCAGTAACATTCGCAAAATAATGTGCCAACTTCTTTTTAGACGATTTCAAAGTGAAGCAAGCAGGAGTGAAAGCACTTCAGAATTTAAACCAGGATACTCCTTGCATGATACATCTGTGGCAGGGAAAATGCAGTCTAGTTCTAAAGGCACCTGAGGTAAATAGACTAAAAACAATAACACAATACAGCCTCTTAATTCTTTGAAGAACTAAAAAACTATGAAACAAAGCTCTAGCATTTATAAGACTCAGATTTCTCAAAGCTCTGTTCATATTTGTGATATTTCATTTGCTTAATTGTAAATGACTTCAAGGTATAGAAAAGCTTATACTCATCACTGTATTTTAGATGTGTATATGAAATCTTTTCAAAATACATTTTTAAGCTAACACCCTTAACATATATTATAAAGTTAGGTAAAATTAACGACAAATAATCGAAGTGCCATAGTTTCTCAAGTCACTAAAGTAGTAATTAAAATTAAGCGCTTGATACTAATTTAAAATGTGTTTAAAAGTAAATGATTTCGGTATTGATTTAATGTGTCAGAAGATATAAGTTCATTTATCATTTTAAAAGTTTGTGTAATTTGCCACTGGATTCATTTATGCTTAAACTCCTATAACAAATAAAATGATAATTAATAAAATTCTAATAAAAATGAGATCACCCACTATCTATCACTGCTTAGATAAAAATGGAAAAATTTAAATAGTGTACAGTAAAAATCAAACAACAGATAAGCTAAGAATTCAATAGCCTAGCAACACCATACCTGACTTAAAACAGATTTATAAATGATTCTGCCACCTCAGCCACACTTTGATACAGTAAAATTGAAGCTGCACATATCCTATGATCTAGCAAGTCTACTACGAGATATACATCTTACAAAATCATATATGTATATAAGAAATCATATATACTGATGCTCAGTGAATTACTGTTCATAACACCAAACAATTGAAAATAAGTATTATCAGCAAAGGCATGGGAAGTAAACTGGTTTATTCACAAAACTGTGTGCCATATAACACCTCAATGAAATGAACTGCACTCACATGCTTCCACATGGGGCTATCTCAAATACCATATTGATTAAAAAATACACAAAATTGCAAAAGGGTATATGACCACATGAAATCATTTATGTAAAATATAAAAACACCTAAAACAATACCATATTCTTTATGAATATATAGTCAATAAAATACAAAACATTCATGGTAATATATACAACATACACACCAACTTAATGGTTACATTGGAAGCAAATGGCAAAATGTTTTTTTTTTTTCCTTGAGTCAGAGCCTCACTCTGTTGCCCAGGCTGGAGTGCAGTGGTACACTCACGGCCACTGTAGCCTCAACCTGCGGGGTTCAGGCGATCCTTCCACTTCAGCCTTCTAAGTAGCTGTAACTATAGGCATGAGCCACCATGCCTGGCTAACTTTTTGATTTATTGTAGAGACGAGGTCTCACCATGTTGCCCAGGCTGGTCTCGAACCTGTGGGCTCAGGCAATCCTCTCGCCTCCACCTCCCAAAGTGTTGGAAATATAGGCAACAAAATGTTAATGTCTATAAAATCTGGATGGTAGTTACATGGTGGTTTGAAGTATTTCATAACAAAGAAAACCTGCAGATTCAAATTAAAAGACAAACTGCAATTTTCATGTATGTTAAAAAAATAATTGAACAGTAAGCTCTAAAAGAATCTTTGTGAGCCGGGCTTGGTGGCTCAGCCTGTAATTCCGCGCCTTTGGGAGGCTGAGGTGAGTGGATTGCCTAAGCCCGCGGGTTCGAGACCCGCCTGGGCAGCGAGACCTCATCTCTACAATAAATCAAAAAATCAGCCAGGTGTGGTAGCGCATGCCTGTAATTCCGGCTACCCGGAAGGCTGAGGCGGAAGGATTGCCAGAGCCCAGCAGGCGAGGCTGCGGTGGCTGGGAGCGGCCACCGCACTCCAGTCTGGGCAACCAAAGTGAGACTCCAACTCAAAAAAAAAAGAATCTTTGTGTTTTCATCATTGACTTCCTGGAGCTTAGTAATTTGCTTGGCTATGGGAGATCAATATGTCTCTGTTGAATAATTTAATGAATGAATGAATGAAAAATTGGATGTATGAATGAAACAGGGAAGAAGAGAAGGAATGGGTACTTAAAAGAAAAAAAATTGGTTAGTATTTTTTTTTTTTTAGTCTGTCTGTATATAGCTGTGTAGAACATCATATAATTACAATCAGGGATGTCAATAGGCAAACATTCTTGAAAGTTTGGCCAGCACTTGTCCAGGTCTTTGGTCATACAGAGAACCTGAATGCCTTTGACTGAATATATAAAAACCTGTTATGACAAACTCCAAGTATCCATCATAAGTTTCTATCACTGAGTATGAAAATTTTTATAGTCAGAATGCTTCTTAAAACTTAAGGTAGGCCAGTGGCTGGGAAATCAACAATAAAAAGCATGGAGATTTTTATTAGGGCTGAATTTATTTTAATGAGATTTAGCGTATATACAGTTAGTACTCAGTTAACTATATTTCAGTAAGTGTACACAATTGGTCAAATAAAAAACAGGTCAAAGCAAAAGTATATTTAAAAAACAAGTAACATTTGAGGATAAAAACCGAAATTAGCAGAAAATTTAGAAGCTCAGAAAAAGTAAAAAAATTATATTAATTACTTTGCTTTGACAATGTTAACAAATACCATTTAAATGAAATTCAGCATTTCTGTTTGTATGATTTTAAGTTATGAAAACTTCGATATTCCTTCATGTTCTCAAAATTAAAAATGATTTTACATTACTGGTAAACATTTCATACCCATACATGTCTCTATTGTAAGCCATACAGTTTGAATGTTCAAATTATATTATTATTAGTTTTAAGAAATATTAAAACAAATTCAAATACACTCATAGTTCTAGAAGCTGCCTCATTATATTAAATGAGATGATCCCTATAAAGCCCTGCACAATGGCATTCATAAAAGTTTTTCAATGTATACTGAAGTAATCCTTGCTATTATATTATTTGTGATCAAATGCATTTTGATAGATGTTAATCTGTCTATGATTTCATAACAGATTGTTTACTGACAGAAATCTGATAACATGCCTTAGAATAACTTGAATCCTGAGAATGTCCTAAGAATGTTTCTAAATTTTTAGAAAAAACATGCTACTGACTTGCCAAATTTAAGGCTACTTAATATAAATAATCTTTTATTTCGTACTGAGCATTAGTTTCTGCAAGCAGGGAACACTGTTCCTACCTCACCTAACCCAAGGTTTAGCTCTAGAAGCATACAGAAAAAGGGAATTCAGAAGTATATGCATATCCTCACCTTGCAAAAGACCTTCAGAACAAGTTTCCTTCTTTTCATAAAAACAAGAAAAATGTTATTTCTTAAATATTAGATTTTAGGTAGTATATTATAGAATCCTTGATAAATGTACGAATGCCTCAGAATATATTTAATACAAAATTAGCTAGAATAATAAGACTGGCTGGGTTTTTTTTTTTTTAAACTCAAAGGGCCTATATACTTAAGAAGAATTATATATGGTGTTGCCATGCTCGAAATTTCATTTTTTTATTTCAAAGTTGTGGGGGTCCAAGCCAGGACTGGGTACATAAGTGGTTTAGGTACAGGTGAAGCTTTGGGCCTCCCAGTGGACCTCACTTCACCCGGATTAGGATCAGGCACCCTTATTGATGTTATGTGCCCTTCCCCCACAAACAAGTTTCTAAGTAACTTCTCATATCAAAACCAAACAAGGGAAAAATGAATTGCCTGGCTGTCAGAGTGTGACCTCAATGTTGAGTATTGCTGTAAATGTAGGAAAAACATTCTGTGCAGAGCCAGGTTTTATAGTGGTTGAATTTCTAAGAACATGTCAATAGAAAAAGACATTCTCTTCTAGTACAGGTTTTATTTTCAACCTTTAAAAGTGGACTCCTTGGTCCTGCTGATTTAAAAGTAGAATTAGTATAATTACAACCATTTGAAGCAAAGCCTTACTGAAAGTTATCCACAAGAGAAAAAAGCAACATGAAAGAGAGTTCTCTCAACAGGCAACCTGGATGCTGCAGAAATGTATTAATGGACTAATTATTTTCTTAGGCTTTCAAAATGTAATAGAAACTCAATTTGCCAGATATTAAAATATAGTCTCACTCTTCAATAAGAAAAACACTGGGGAACAGATGCAAGGATAAACTTATTAGTGGAACAGAAAACACATGTCTAAGTAGACCCAAGATAATATATGAGAAAAGTACAAATTATGTACAAAATATGCATATGACATATTAAAGGCTTTCAAAAGGGTGAGGGCAGGAACAAATCAGAGGGAGATCTAAGACTGTTAGGAGATGTGGTAGAATATCGCAAAGGTGGGCTGAAGTATAATTTTGAAAAGCCCAGGAGACTCCTATACATTCTCCTCCCTCAGAGAGAATCACTACAAATAATGGAAATATCACAAGAAGCATCAGGAAGGAAGGGATGGACTGATAAATAGTACTGTGCCTATTTACACTAAAAAGCCAATTTACAATTTCACTTTATAGTACACCAAAAAATTATAAGGGGAATTAAGAGTTAACTGTAAATGAGACCATAAAAGATTCAAAAAATATGTGACTAACACATCTGTGGATGGAAAAGAACTTTCTACCAATAAAGCAAAATAAATATAGGGAAAAATTCATTGATTTCATTTGAAAATATAGATTCTTTGTTCAAAAACATAAACAAAAATAGAAGCAAAAGTACAAAGCAGGAAAAATATTCACAACAGATATGACATTTACCGGAAAGTCTTTTATGCCAGGCACCAACAAACACCATTAACTTGTAAAGAAGCTTGTACAGATATTTTTTATCAGAAGAAAGCATTTGAAACTCAGAAGATAATCTGAATTATGTCAACTCAGACAAGAGAGACTATGGCACGTTGTCACATTGGATAATAGTGGCTTTTGTCATAGCTACCTGGCCTTGTTAAGTAGTTCCATAGTGCCTAAGCTTAGGTTAGGTTTTCAGATGAAAACTTGGTGAGCTGGTTGGGTGTTGGTAACAATGAGCATAGAACTGGAAAGGAGGTACTAGATTTGTCCTAACCTATTTTGCCTCTTATTTTCCCTCTTCAGGTTCACATTCGAGGGAATAGGAAGCAAAGCAAAACTTACATGTCTTTCACTATACTAGGTACTTCACATGCATTACCATCAGATAATCTTCTTTGCATTGTGACGTAAGCAGCAGCTGTATTTTACACATATAGGATGCAAGTTGGCAAACTTCCATTCCAAAGACGTTGTCTCTGCTAATGCTTTTAATTTTCATTTCATTCTGTCCAAGTACAATGGTGATTGCTGAGATGTCTTTTATTTTTAAAAACATAAATTGCCATTAATATGTATTTGGGGTAAAAATTTCTACTTACCACTTATCAGAATTGTATGATGTTAAAAAATACATTTGCATACTCTCTGAAAGCTCTTTCTGAAACATGGATGATAATCCAGAACAAACTCATATGGGTTGAACAGAAGAAAAAAAATGAAATCAAATTAGAGTATCTCACCCTTATTAGTTTTGCTTCTGGCCCATGAAATACAGAGGATGAGCTTTGGAAAAGGTTTCTAATTTTGAT